AACCTTCTCAGGTGATTGACAGTCCCATGCCCGACAGTGTAATCGACTCGTGGACAACGAAAATTTTTAAAAAAATATATAAGTTTTGATAAACGCTTTTTCAAGCAAAAAAAAAACATACTTTTCTACGAAACAAAATGGATAACTCTTCTTTGCATGTTTAAAATTTGTATGCATGTAAAAAAAAAAACATAAAACACACTTTAAAGCTGATTGTCCACCTGACAGATACCTGTTTAGGCTGAGAAATAGCCCTCTGAGTGAGGTTCAAGACACCCTTCTAGACGAGTGGCGAGTTTTATACATTCGGGGGACCGAGTAGCCTTCGTGGACCCTCGAGAATAAAGATACAGCTGAGCCTAGTCCCATACGAGTCCTTGCGGTCCCTCTCATCCGAACTTTTTTTTGTTTTGTTTTATCGAAGCTTTGGGACAGGGCACTCGTGTTATTTTTTCTTTCTTTTGGGATTTCTCCGGGATTTTTGAGGATTTTCTTTTACTTGAGTCTTTTCTCGTTGATTTTCTCGAGTTTTATGCTCTTCCTCGGATTTCTTGGATGACGCTTTTTTTCTTCCGGACTTCACTTTTGAGATGCATTTAGGCTTGCTATACTTAAGAAACGGCGGATCTTACGGGCTTTTCTTGTTGCTCCCTGCTACTATTCTTCCTGTATAACATGTTATACCATTTATGTTTCTACCGGCTACTGTACTGTATAGCATGTTATATTATTCATGTTTCTACTTGCTACTGTTCTTCCTGTATAGCACATTATTCTGTGGACCCTCGAGAATAAATATACAGCTGAGCCTAGTCCCATACAAGTGCTTGCGGTCTCCCTCATCCGAACTTTTTTTGTTTTGTTTTATCGAAGCTTTGGGACGGGACCCTCGTGTTACTTTTCCTTTCTTTTGGGATTTTTCCAGGATTTTTGAGGATTTTCTTTTACTTGAGTCTTTTCTCGTTGGTTTTCTCGAGTTTTCTGCTCTTCCTCGGATTTCTTGGATGACGTTTTTTTCCTTCCAGACTTCGCTTTTGAGATGCATTTAGGCTTGCTATACTTAAGAAACGGCGGATCTCACGGGCATACTGGTTTGCTTTACATTTTACAACACTTTATTTTCTTGTTGCTATCTGCTACTGTTCTTCCTGTACAACATATTATACCATTTCTGTTCCTACCGGCTACTGTACTGTATAACATGTTATATTATTCATATTTCCACTTGCTACTATTCTTCCTGTATAGCACATTATTCTGTTCCTTTTTCTACCTGCTACTGTTCCACATGCATTCTACTGTTTGTTCCTGTATTGCACATTTTATATTATATAGCTTTAAACATGTTTTCTTTTTATATAAGATGTTTAGAGGACTATAACCATTAGACCGTTTGATTTGACATTATAACTGGACACCCTAGAAAACTTAAACTCGTCACATCGAGGAGCTTAGAGCTAGCACGGTGGGCGGCACGGCCATCTTCAACAGCAGAACATGTCTTCTCCAGCAAAATCATTCATTTTCCTAAAAATTAAACAACAATCCATAAGATCTCGAGGTTTTTTGCCTAGCGCAACATAAATCCTACACATTTTCTTTAGACATTCGTATAGCTCTGCTGTAAGATTTAAGCCCTAACTCGTTCTAGGTTCCGAGGTTGTCGTCCGATAAGACGACGTAAACACTCATATCTTCTAGGCGATTTGTGGGACCATGTCACGCAAATATAAGCCCTAATTAAATAAAATTGACAGGGTGAAACACTCTAATAATTTCTTCTCAAAACTAGAGTCAAATCATAGGATAGACTGGGAAGTCACTGAGGTTCTCCTCTGGATCTGTGGCCTCCCCTAGTTTCTCTTCATTTGGATTACTCAACAATGTTCCAGATTTGAGCCTTTCCCCTTTCACACATTTTCGTCCGATTTCATTGAAAAGTCCTATCCTTTTGACTTTTTTGAAGATAGTATTCCCTGATTTTTATCGAGAGTTTTCTTAGGTGACTTCAGTCATTTAAGATGTAATTAACTATAGGGGCTTGCCCTTATAGGAAGCTTTTCCGAACCCAACCTAAAATAAACCCTATTTAATTCTTTGTATTAAATAGGAGAACTTGTCGACAAATAAAACGGCTTCGCAGACCAAACATGTGTCATATATTTCTTAGTTTATTTGATCGAGTCTCTTCCTCGAGTCTTGTGTTTATCCCTCGGGATAGATACAAGATTTGAGGTAGAGTGCTCTTTCATTTAAACTGTGAAAAATATGAGGTCAGTTTGATTTCATATTTTTCTAAAATTATATACATATATGTAAACTAAGTGTCCTCCCGAAGCGGGCGACGGGACTTCACTCCCAGCGACTGACAGCTTCTTACGGGCAACTTTAAACTCTTAACTTTACACCCCAACTTTTTTTAAGCGCCGACATTAGTAAATGATAAAGCTCCCCAAAAAAAAAAAGTTCTTTATATGTCTTATGGTACATAGATGCAAAGATTTGGACTTAATATCGTACAGAAGTTGGTAGCTAAACGGCAAATCAAATAATTCAAGGTATTAAATCACCTCTCTGATATTGGTTAATAGTTATAGCCAATATACGCTCTACAAGTTTCAGAATAATAGGGTGATCAGATTCTGAAACTGACCTATGGATATCACTTTGTAATGTATTTTTTGCATTTGAAATAACTTCGCAACTCTTTCAGGCCATATCAAGTACTAGGGTTACTAATGCAAATATTTTGGAACTTGTTGCGGCTTGTTGGGCTTCAGCCGATAATCCCAACCAAACAAACCTAATACACACCTCCTAAACCACCCAATTTTAAGCTTGGCTTTTACTGGCTTTGGGTATAAGCTGGCTAAAAAAAAGTTTGGCTCTTAAAATGATTAGGTGACGAACCTTTTGGCTTATTTTCTCCATTGCAGATCCTCTTTCCTTCACGCCTTCAATCTTTGGCTTTGGCAATCACTCTGTTCACACCAACACTGTCCACAACTTTTGATTACTCTCTTCACAACACAATTAACCTCCAATCATCACCTACATCTATTGGCAATAATTGCAAGTGCTTATAATTTGATCTCTCCTTTATGTAAGAAGTTGCTTCACTAATTATCAAACGAAACTTCTTAATTTCCACACTCGCATGTTTTGGCTATTTTATAGCGAGTTTATGTATATGCAAACTTGTGTAATTGAATATCGACTTAACAATCTTGGATCATGGATTATATTTTTGTGATATTTATATAGAACATTTGTGATGCCATTTGCTTGTAATTAGAAGTGTTTGAACATTTTTAATGAGTTGAACATTGTGAAATTCATATTAGGGGTGTTAATTTGGGTTCACGAGTCGGATTCGAATCCAATCCAAATTTAGCCCAACTCGAATCTGCATGACCCAAACCCAACCCATTTATTAAACGAGTTGTAAAGCATTATCCGAATCCAACCTACATATAACATGGTTGACCTAAACTCCATATTTTTGAATAGTTATAAATGAAAATAAAAAAATACAAATAGGATACAAAAGTTAACAATAAAAAATATCATATCAAATAATAGATGCAAACTAATAGAGATGAAGTTTGATATAAAAAATTATATGGGCTGGTAGGTTAGCCTAAATCTAATACAAAATTTAAATGACCCAAATTTTTAACTCAAACTGAAAATTAATCGGGTTAACCCAAACCTGAATTTTCTAGGTTGGGTTTGTTGGCCCATCATGTCATGTCATTTATTGACACCCTTAAGTCATATATTTTATGGGGAAATATTTCATATTATATTTGAAGCTTTATTAATGTAAATTGAATCATCTTTAATTTTATAATCTTAATTAAGTTTTTCTAGCTACAAACTAACTCATGCTTACATAGCATATAGAACTTCATGATGAGTTAAGAAAATGAGCTTAAATCAAAACGGAACGAAGTACTTTCTTTAACTTATCTCAGCTTATAACTCCTCCTTTTCACCAACCAAATGGCCTACACCACATAAAACATAAGCCTTTCCATGATTCCAATACGTGGCTTAGCTTAACCTTTTGCCCAACCAGATAAACTTGGGTTTTTTTATTTTTTTATTTTTTTTATTTTGTGGTTCAATGGCGATCTAGTTCAAACAGGTTGCACAACGATTCTGTAAATTCATTTGGGAGCAAGGTATCTTATATAAAAAAATTCTAATATCAAAGAAAAATTAAGAATAGCATGACCATTGTTGAATAGAATAAGATAAGATCTAACAAAATATATGAAATCATAATAGTAATGTAGGTATTAAAGACTGCATGCAAAGATCTAGAACCAATGTCGAGGAAAATGTTGAATATCACCATGATGACAGGAGAAAAGGATAAAGAACCAAATTGTTGAGCATAATTTCACCAGCACTTATCTTTTGCACTTAGGAAATCAAATACTTCACATTGAAAAAGGACTTTCATTATTAAATGCTCAAACTTCAGTGATTTATGTAGAAAAACGGCCTCTTCTTTGTAATAGGATGGAACCAATTTGAAATTGAACAAAGCCCATTCAATTTTTGGCTAAAACTATGTTGACGCAACCTTATAGTGAACTTATAGTATGTTGCATGGAATGCACCTCTTAAATACTACCACGGAAGACGAACAATGATTTTTTTTTGCATTATATAATACTTGAATTTAATTTTGAGATAGCTCAAATGTACAATTGTTCATGGACGATAAATTAATCACTCAAAATATTGAACATAGATTGAATTGAATACATATAAACCTCACTGATTGATCACTCAAGCGTGAAAAAGAAGCAACGTAATTAATTAGTGTATTGGGTGCTATAAATTTTAAGCTTCATAATATATATATATATATATGTTTTTATAGAAATCCAGGTAGAATGGAAGACAAACAGAGGCAGACTTTTAATTTTTTAACTGTATTTCATGTTTATTACATTGTCATGTTCTTACATCCGTGTTCCTCTTAGAACTGCACTGGAGCTCCTGCTGTTACTACAGTTTTCTTTGGGGCAAACGATGCCGTTATCTTGGGGAGAACTAGTGAAAAGCAACATGTACCTATTGAAGAGTACAAGCAGAACCTACGGAAGATTGTTCATCATTTAAAGGTTATTGTACAAACAATGTCGATAAAAATATATTCACTGCAGTTTTCATTAGTTCAGCTTTTCATCATCACAGTTTAGTCATAAAATTTTGTTATTGTCGCAATTTTTCTTGTTTTTCAATGTGTTGTTCCCATCTGACATTTTTATAAAAATTGGTAATTCGGCGTTATCTGTTAGCATGTTCCTGTTGTTGTGGTTATGAGAGAACATTACATTTATCAATAAGTGCATTAGTTTCCAAAATTGTACAAAATGGCTTTATGTTGGCCTGTTCAACTGTTTTTAATAGTATGCATGTCCGTTTTTTCACCAAAACTATAGTGATTTCAGATTGGGTTTTGGAGGATATTCTTGCCAGGAAGCTCCTTCTGTTACTTAGTTTTTCTTTTTCTTTTCCCAGCTCACTGTTGGTTGGAAAAATGGCTGAAATCTTTCTCTATCTCTTTTAGCCTTCTCCCGTAACCAGAACATCAATTCGTTGAGCATGGGTTTGTGAGGAGTTGTCTGGTACATTCCCATTTAGTCGAGTCCCTTTCCAAGCTGTCACCACACAATTAACAACTTCTTCATATTTTGCAGGGCGTTTCATGCTTTATAACATCTCAACAATGATATCATAGCCATACAGGATTGTTCTATTGTAACTTGAAAACTTTCCTATATTTGAATGTAGCCCCTGCATAGTTCATCAATAATAATAATAGCAAATATGCAGTCATATTGTTAAGGAATGTGAACTAAGGGGATCAAAGTTGTGCATTATTAATCAAAGTCAATTAAATTTCAGCTAAAAAAATTAAGTCTGCTGGCACGATGGTGAAGGATATCACTAAAGTTTTTACACCAGTGAAGGTTTTCAGATTTTTAATGTTGGATTGAACTCAATATTCTCGAATATTTTAATGAATCTCCTTGTATGAGAGCTGCCGACGTCGATCATTACTTTCCTTTAAATTAAAATTTTAAAGTTCTATTTTGAGATATTTGATGTTTTGTCTCATTCTTTGTCTTGAGCATTTGAATATTCTCGGTGTGATGGGATTGGGATGTATTTGGATGTGGAGGAGTGCTTTCTTTTGCCTAATTGATACTGATTTGTCCACTTATGTGCCTTGGCCTTAGGATGTATGCTACAACTAAATTGCATAAATATTATATTCTTATATTAATTGTCTCTTCTATGTACTTAGTGTCTTAATCAAATTTGTTCGGATACACATTTCCTCATGATTTAGTTTGTTTAAACAGTTGTTATTATGAACGCTGGAGAAGAAGTTGATAAATTTGTGTGTATTTATTCATGCTGCTACTATATAGATTATTTTTGTCCAGAAATTTTGAATTAGCTGATGAACTAGTCATTTAAAAAAAAACATCCAGAATAATATATTTCTACCGCCACCTCTCTGCTCTGTCTCACTTGCTCAACCATGACGCTTTCTGCTTTTCTCCTTCCTTTTATAACTATGTATCCGTGTATGGTGTCTGTGAAGGTTTACATTTTCAAAATATATGATGTAGTCTTGAAGTTTTTCATTTCATTGGTATTTCGTACGACTCATACCAATTTTAGATAGAATAAAGACGGTGTCAACTGTAGATTGGGTGGAGAGGTGTACTTTCTCTTCTTCGTTATATTGTGTACTTGAGTGGATGTTTCTACTTATATGCGCCGTGTCTCTAAAATCACGATCTCTTTCCAGGTGTTCCAGAACAATTTTACCTTATATATCTATGTCCATGCAGGATTGTTCGTCTACTATGCTGATAATTTTAATAACCCCACCACCAGTTGATGAGAATGGACGCGATGAATATGCTCGGTTTGATTTACTCTCCTTTTTAATTTTTTTGGACTTTTTATTTCTTTTTTTAGATGGAAAACTCCTACATACAGTTATAACTGAATCATAACAAGCAAAAGAAACAAATATGACAACAACGATAGGAAACATCATAAGTACTACCGTTTTCATGCTATCTAGTTTGCTTAGCAAAAGAAATACATATCGTATTTAAATGTAACTTTTGACTCTTATTTTTTTCTATTGAATTTCCCTCTCTCCGTCTCTCTCGTGGTAGAGCATATTCACTCGCCAATCATAGCAAATAGCTTAAGGCATATGGATCAAGATCTTATATTATTGGACCAATTTCTCTAGAAACCTCAAATTGCAATATGTGTGCTTTTTTATATGTTCGTCGACCCCATCTTATTTTTCCCTCCTTTTTAATTCATTCATATTTTGTAATTCCTTATAAAGATGTATATATAGCTCCCCTTTTATACAAAAGAAAGAACAATAAAATTCTTAAAGAGTTTTTCTCTGTTGTTTTGTTTTCTACATGTTATCAGAGCATGATTATGTTTTTTTTTGGAACTTTTGCTTTTTTTTTCTAGAATTAAGGTTTCCACGTTCAATCTTATTTTCTTGTTGGATTCTTGTTCGATTCATTATGTTTGATCTTTTGACTTTCCTTCAAAAGCATCGGCCATGATTAATGATAAAAGTCATAACAAGGGAGAAATTTTGAGATTTCAAGCATCGTATTACTTGAATAGAAAAAGTTATCTTAAATGGTTGCAGATCATGATGGCCTTTTTGAAAGGAAAGGAAAATTTAACAATTTGTGAAAATAACACCAAGTCTAAATAACCAAAGTTCATATTTTATGAAGAAACTACTTTCATAATCATGACAATTACGAAACATCATGTAATTGGAGAATTGTAGTGTCACACCGCCATTCAACCCCCTTAGTCAACCATAGATATCACAGAGGAGAACAATTTGGTTAGACTCAATTTTGATTGACTCTCATTTTGACTTGTACTCATCAGAAATGAAGTAAAGAATTTAGTCTTACAAAATTGTCACAACATGAACTCTTGCATTTAAAATCTTTAATTATTCATTAATATCAGCATAAATAAAGAAGTGTGTACAGACAATCCTCAAATAAAATACAGAGCTTCTTAAAAGATACTTAAAAATTATATGGACTTAAAATCTTTATCTATGTTAGGCATCATTGTCCTCTATCAACTACCAAAATTGTATAATCAAAAGTGATATAACTGACAAACCACCTAATATCACAGTCCTATTACTGCTTTCCTCTATCTAAAAATTAACATTATAATATCTGTTAAGGTAAGCATTTAGTGAGATAAAAATGATATGATAACATTTAAGCATGTAAGAGAGAAATAATGTGCATATTGGTTGATGATTAATATAAGTAGAACAATAAAATTAATAAGCATGCTTATAAATAGTATATGTAACAGTTGTCAAAAATAAATAAAACAACTGCTAACATGTTATTTACTTCACTATGTTAGGTAAAATCATATATGAATATATTTTAGTTTTATTTTCACTTATTATCAACAATATATTTTAAAAATTCAGCAACAAGCCTTTATTAGCTACGTGAATCCTTCTTTACCATTTTGTTTTATTGAGTATCATATTATCATTTAATTTTAATAAACTACGATCATTTTTATACAACATGTCTTAAAATGAGTCAAATCTAAAACATTTACTCTCCTGACCGGGTCATCAAATGATCACATTTGAAGTGATTAAACAATCTAAGGCAACTCTCTCTATAAATATAATTTTCTATTTATATAGGTTTTAATATTTTATTTCATTAGGTTGTCACTCAGCTCGTCAACTAAATTAATTGTTGATGAAAATTGTTCATCCCAACGTCATACTTCATCAATGGTCCCCTGATACCAATTAGTTTGGTCCAACCTTAATACCGAAAAAATGTTCAATTATTTCTTTATCAAGCTTTATCTCGTTAGGTTCTTGCCTTTTTGACACGGGGCGTGCTGGTTGATCGGATGAACCGGTCGGCCTTCATGAGGGCGAGAATTGAAGCCCTTTCACTCTCCCAATTTTCTATTCTAGTCCCTTCCATAGAGGGAACTCTTTCCTCTTCTATTCCATTCCCTTCCTTTTTCCCTTTCTTTCCTATTCCTTTTCCTTTCCTATTTCTATTCCTTGCCCATTTCTCTTCCTTTCCTATTCTTATTCCTTGCCCATTTCTCTTCCTTTCCTGTTTCTATTCTCTGCCCATTTTCTTCCTTTCCTATTTCTTTTCCTTTCCCTTTCTATGTCTTCCCATTCAATCCCTTGCCTTTCATATTACCTTCTATTTATATATACTATCATCTATCGTGTATTGTTGGTTTGCTTGCATTAGAAGTAGTTTCGATTTGTTTCTGATTTCAGCTTTCTGCCTCTAAGGTGTTCCTCCCTTCCAATGGTTGTATCCGACGAGGAGGAAGTGATCCGGTTGTAACTCGTATGAGGTGATTATCTTCTCCAAAGGTTCGAGGGCGCTCCGACTGTAACTTGAACCCGCGGGGATACTTATCTTCCTCCAATCCCCTCTGCAATTCACCTTCCCATGTTTTCCCTGCTGCCACTCGCTTCCCCTTGTTGTCCCCGTCTCCTACTTCGCTGTTGCAGCTTGCAAACCATTCCACTTGCTGCCCACTACTAGAATTTGCACCCATACCCTCTTTCTGAATAGCTACGCCACGTCGACATCAACTGTGTGCTTGCTGTCCAAAACCTAGGAAGGTAAGCTTTAATAAAATTTGTTTAATTGATTTAATAATATATATTAGACGAGCCCCGACCATCCCTAGGTTAAATATTCGAGCACCACACCCTACATACGGGGGCATTCGAACCCATGACCCGAGGGTACTTACGACCTTCAGAGAGGCTGCTCTACCAACAACCACAGTACGCGCGCGCACACAAAAATAAAAAAAATTATTAAATTAGGGTTTTTGGTTGGGAATTCAATTTGGAGGGGAATAGAATGAGGCAAAGTGTGCGAACTAGAAGGGGATGGAGATTTACCTGGGCAAATTTCGGTAAGAAAAATTTGAGTTTATATTATAGTTTAATTAATGAATTTTAATAGCAAAATAAAGTTAATTAAGATTTCATAAACTAAAACAATGGAAATTAATACTTAAATAATGTAAAATTAATAATTAATTAAAATAATAAATAAATTAAATTTTAGTAATATTAATAACATGTTTATTTTAGATTTTCAATTTTAGAAGAGTCGACATCAAAATAAATCAATAACAAATCAATCAACATGAAGGTGAGTACTTGTATTATTAATCTATAGTAATATTTTATTTCTCTTCAGCGATTTTGGAGTTAATGATATTTTCACAAGTTCAAATTTATTTGAATTGATATATTTTTTAATTTATTGGTCACATTGTTAAGGTTATTATATGTTTATAGCTATTTACTATCATTAAATGATCACTGCTATATATTATATTGAGTTGAATGAGATGAACACACGAATGATATACTATATTGGCTGCTTGTATGTGCATGATTGACTATCATAGAACCAAATTTTTATGATATTAAAGGGAGAAAACTAAAACACTCATACACGTATATGAAAAATGATATTGATATTGAAATACCTTAATGGATATATTTTTAGATTAACAGTTGTATTGATATAGAAATGATAGATATGCTATTGATACAGTAAAATATATTAATAACATGCACGTGATCATATTCATGAATTATTCAATATTTTATTTTGATTTATGAAAAGTTTAGCTGACATGCATATTATTTCCTTAGCCCTTATATTACTATAGTTTATGAGTGTGAGTATTATTTACTGGCTTTATTTTGTTTATTAAACTAGTTATTCGGGTGTATTTAATTTATTAAGAAATAAGTAATAGAAGAGAAAGTTTATAGAAGATGCAAACAACTTGTAAAGAAATAAATTTAATTTTTTTAGTGGCTCTTTCATTTATTAATAACTACCTATAAAAAATAAATATAGATAACTTAATTTCCATCGTCGGCCGCCGATACCGGTCTTGGTTTAATTCTATGCCCAGGGTTGGGTCATGACACGTATAAACTTCTGCATTCTTTCCCTTTTAATCTTTCATCACTATAGTGCCCCTAAATTTACAGCCAAAACCTACCCTTAATAGGTTCGGCAAGCTGCGAGCACGACAATTAGAGAGGAAATAATGATTCTTTCATAAGTTAATAAAATTTAAACACAAATGCACACTCACTCATTTTTGTTCAATTATCTAAACTATCAGATATATGAGATCTATTTGGTCTCATTCATTTTTCAAAATTAAAAAAATATTTTCAAAATCAAAATTAAAAAAATATTTTCAAAATCAAAATTACAACAACAACAACAAAATCAAAATTAAAAATTATATATATTAAATTAAATTAAATCCCATAAATTTATCTTCCCAAAAAAAAAAAAGACCGACAATATGCTAATGAGGTTTTTCACCAACACATAGATATCTAATGATTCCTTAAAAAATGGTCACTCTTTGGACCCATCAGCTTAACTAGCCAATCATAAAAAGGTTCTACCAAAAATACATATATGATTCATGCAAGTGTTTTTTATATAAATATTATATTACGAGCAAAGGTGATATAATGAAGATTTTATAATCATTATGATTAAATATGTTACATATGAACATAGTTCATGGTTTGTATGATTAATATTTATTTCTCATCCATCAATGAAATGCCCATAAACTTCATAGGAATTTATGCTACACTTAACATGGTATCAATAACATTAAATAGCATTACAATATAAATACAAAATATATATAAAAATGTATGAGCAAAAATGAAAATTAAATATATAATATCTAAAAGAAAGCTACTTAAGTTGTCAAGGATAGTATCCCTAATAAAGAAAAGTGCAATTATACCAAAAATAAAAGTTATTTACTCGAGGTGTGTGCATTATGGAAAGTCCAAATTCTTTGTTGAGAATCAAGAGAACAATACTAAATGAATATCAACTTGAAAGTGCTAAATAATATGAACTGTCAATCAATTTCATACACAATTCAATAAACATCGGATATCAATACTTAAATAATATGTTTGCATATTTATCCTAATAAATCAACCATAGTTTGCCTTGGTGCAAGATTACTGCAATCCAATAGCATTGCCTAATAGGCTAAAAGCACAAGTTTACCATTTTTTTCTTGATTCCCTTTTCAAATTCTTTGTACTTCCCTTGGATTCATCCCATTTTATTTTCTTACTTGAAATGGAGCTTTTTTTTTTTCTAGATTTCTGTATGGTGATAAGGCAAGAGTGCTGCCAGAAAGGACTAATGAAATGACTGGAGTTTATGCAAATAATTGCATTGAGCTAGCACAGGAATTGAATCTACCTTGTGTTGATCTTTGGTCTCTCATGCAAAAAACTGTAGGCTGGCAGAAAAAGTTCTTAAGGTATGATTTTTATTCAGCTTCTTGTGCTTGAGATAAATCCCCTTTTAGATCCTGATCACAATATTCATAAATAACCTCCACATCTTACAAAATTGGATATATTTTGTTTTTCTACTTCAACATATTCTGCTGAACGAACCTCTTTTCATATAAATTATATTTCAAAAGCTTTATATCTGGAAGGCATGAAACTGTAATTTTGTCATTTCATAGAAGGATGGATGAATGGAAGTGTATTATGATGAATATGAGAAGCAAATGCTATGTATGATTGCAAATGATTAGTAAAGCAAACATAAGATTATGTGCATTTAATAATGTTTTTGGATTTGATTTATTTACATATTAACATTTAAATTTTGATATGTGCTTATATAAGACAAATTTCAATGCCATATCAAAAAAGCTGATAATTATAAATTTTCTTAAGCAGAATAATATAGGTTTTCATACATAAGTTTTGATGTCATTGCAAAACTAAAGTGTTAATATAAGCACATATCAAATTTAGGTGTTGGATAAATATGTAAATATATAAGAATTACATAAATCCTCTTAGGGTCTTTGGGGTAGCTTGTGCGTTTCAGGATAAATAGCTTATCCTGAAATGTGGCCCGCGACCTGCGTTTAGTGTATAAAACCCAAACGCGACACGCAGCATTTCCACAAACCAAACGGTTAGGTGGCGTTTTCAAAAATGCCGCCGCACTTATAAGCTACTCCAAACGGGCCCTTAGTTTATATTTTTGTTTGCTTCAGTATAAATGCTTGGCACAACTTGAAGTTTGCAGGAAGAAAAATGCTTCTTTAGCTGTATGCTTCTTTAGCTATGCATAAACCTTATGATATAAATCTCTTATCTTAGGCAGCCGTTATGTTATATTGATCTTTATTATGTTAATTCTTTTTTTATTTGATACCTTTTTTCTTTTTGGGGTGGGTGCATGTACATACACACTACCCACTTCCTCTGTTTTTACATATCTAACACCTAAACTTCACTTTTTTTTGCTTCTTTAGCTGTGCATAAACCTTATGATATAAATCTCTCATCTTAGGCAGCCGTTATGTTATATTGATCTTTTTATTTTGTTAATTCTTTTTTTATTTGATACCTTTTTTCTTTTTGCACACACCACCCAATTCCTCTGTATTTACATATCTAACACCTAAACTTCACTTTTTTACGTTTATACCGCCCAAATCTTCATATCATATAAAAAAAATACCATCAATTTAATGAAATACACATTTTTAAAGGTGGCATAAGTGTAAAATTGAAGTTTAGGTGTTAGATATGTAAACACAATAAGAATTGAATGCTATATATATGCTAATCTTCCTAATTTTTATGTTTTTTGTGGCAGGGACGGCTTGCACTTAACTCCTGAAGGAAATGAAGTTGTCCACAAAGAAGTGGTGAGGGTGTTGTTGGATGCTGGGCTTCGGCCACAAGATTTGCCCTATGATTTTCCTCATCATTCCGACATTGATGGAAAAGAGCCCCACAAAGCATTCCAACTCAGGAATTGAGGTTTTTGGTCACTGCTGCTTAATTCTCCATGTTGTTTTTTATACAGCTTGATTATTCTGCTTTTAACCATGAACTTGTGGTGTTGGACCTCTACATATAAATATATGAAATATTGATTTGCCCAAACTTGGTTGTATGAGATCGTCCGAACTCTGTATGATGGTTGTTTTCCTCGGATTGGCTCGCGTGCATGATGCTACGACGTTGTTTATTCAAAGGCATTGTTGATGCTTGAATGCACAGCACATTGGTTTAAAATAAAGTGAATAATTACATTGAGAAATGGAGCTGATGAAGAAAATAATAAAAGAGCTTTACTTACATATCCATCCAACACCCACAATAACAGGCAGCAACCAGAATCTCTTTAGCAACGAGAAAAACACTCTAATAGCAGCAAGCAATCCTTCACAATCAGAGAAGAATAGCCTTCAAGAAGCAGTCAGCAACAATATCAGGCCTCAGAGCATAAATAACCTCCTCAGCACCGACAAACATGGAGAAGTAAACAACAAGCGATAGTAGCAGAACCATCTAATGAGCAATGACAGCTTCTTCAGCACCAACAAATTTGCAGAGGTAGACAAAAAAGAGATGGTAGCATAAACAATGAGCAAAGACAACATGAAAAAATAGAAAAACAACAAAAATAATCCAAAAATAATAAAATAACCCAAAACACTCTAACCAATGCATCTTTGCTTAAAATTAATGAAAACAACTTCAATCACTTAAGGGGCCATTTATAATCAATTTTGTATTTTATATTTATTTTATTTTAAAATAAATATTTATACTTTTATAAAAATGAATCAAATATCTAAAGACAATTAGAAAACATAAAAATTATTTTGTATATTTTTTAAAACAAAAAATAGATCCAAAAATAAGCTAGGTGTATGATGAGATTTAGGGTTTATTTGGGGCAGCTTGTGCGTTTCAGGATAAGCTGCTTATCCTGAAACGTGGCCCGCGGGCCTGGCCGTGGGGGTCGACCCGTGGCCCGCGTTTAGTGTAAAAACTCAAACGCAGTTTTTGATAACGGACAAAACGTGCAAAGCTGACGAAACGCTCGAACCAAACGGTACGACGGCGTTTTGAAAACGCTGCCCGCACTTTTAAGCTGCCCCAAACAGACCCTAAGCTTTTCTCCCATGATAATCAGAAAGAAAAATAAATTTCTTTTTAAAACTTCAATAAAATAAATTTGTCATTATTAAATATATAATCATAACCAAATTTAAATTTGCAAATTATTGATTTATAGTGCAATAAAATAGAAATATTCCTGCAATCTGATGACTGAAATTGTGTAAGAGTTTACAACAGAGCTGATGACAGAAAACATAAAAACAAAAGGAGCATTTGCATACATACCACACAGTTCCTATGAATGAATCTACTTATCTGAGACCCAAACTTTAATATTTATATGAATAGCTCTTAAATATTTAATATCACATCAATAATATCAACATCACCTACTTCAAAAGTTAATACACCATCAGAGCGTTATAAGTGTAAATATAAAGTTTAGGTGTTAAAGATTTGTAAATATAAAAGAATTGTGTGGACTTGTCAAGCCTGATAGGCATCAAAGTTTGGTTGGACTAGTAAAAGCAATTTCCTCGTTTACTCACATTCATTACCTGTTTCAAATTCAATATTGCAATCACAGCCAGCTTCATCCACAACAGATCTTCAGATCTCAGAGCACTTCAGGTTGAAACTTAGGCTGTGTTTGGCAGGACGGCGGGGGAGCGGCGCGATGCGAAAACGTAGTTTTGTGTCATTGGCAGGGTGAAGTGAATTTTTTGTTTCTCAAGTATCAAATATATTGTTATAACAGTTCTGTTACAAAGAACATTACTATATAGAGGTAGAATGGCAATTTGTTCAGAAACAACTGTTGTACAACTGTTTTTAAGCTGGAAAACTTATCCGCAACAACTTACTGATCAGTTGCAGCTGTCCCAAACAGACCCTTAAAAGTCCAATGAAAAAGAACGTATATTATGTTCAACACAGAAGTAAAGCATGTGGACCCTAACCATGTCGCTTCCCCAAAAATTTATGTTCAACGCAGAAGTAAAGCATGTGGACCCTAACCATGTCGCTTAAACCAACACCAAGACTTTCCCCAAAAATTTAAATTCTCATTTTTTATTAGTTCAGAATCCAAGGGTGATTCACTTCATCAATGATATAAGTAAACCACTATTTCTGCAATTAGTCCAGTTGATAAGGGCCTTGGAAGTTGTCACAAAGTCCTTAGTTTGGATTCTCACCCACAAAACAATAAACTCTCACATTATGAAGGTGGGAGAAGAATCCGCTGCTTTAAGCTCCTCAACAACTGAAATATTACAATTCATCCAACTTTTCTTTAGGTGATACGTTGCAGATTCAACATGCTTTCTGTAGAAAGCTGACAACAAAGTCATCACCTTTTATAAGGTTTCAATTGATACAACTGGAAATCAGAACTAAACTTCAATGACTCCTCATTGATCCTTTTCTGGAGCCTCCTCCAAGTTCTGAGCATATCTGCCTGTATCAGTCCCCTATAAAGAGTCTCAAAAGTGATTTTTTGTGGAAGGATCCCTTTCTCAATCATTTCCATAAAAAACTGGCATGCCTCCTTCCACTTCTGCCTCTCACACAACCCATGTATCAACAAAGTGTATGAATCCATGTCTGGACCAACACCCTTCTCAATCATATCATTCCATAGTTCATCAATAAGTTCTGTTCGGCTTAACCTCGAAAACATCCCAATCAATATATTATAGGTACGAATATCAAGCACGCCTGGCGAACCCATCTCCTTCGTCTTCTTGTACAATTTCATTGCTTTGTCGACATCTTTCCGACCGCGATATTCTTTAAAGAAGCAATTGTATGCTGCGGGGGATGGGCACACTCCGTTGGTCGTCATTTCGTTAAGCAACTCTTCCGCTTCTTCCAATCTTCCGCAGGACGCGAGACATTTGATCACGGAGGTGTACGTCGCAACTGTGGGAGAGATTCCATTCTCCTTCATCGAGCGAAGCATAGAAACCGATAACTCGGGTTTATGGGCTCTGCTGCAAACATGGATGATAATTGAGTAGCTCGTGACATCAGGCTCGATGCCTCGGTTACGCATATCCTTTAAGAGATTCTCAGCTTCATGAATTGTTTTATCAAAGCGAACATCTGGATGTAAGCTTGCTCTTCTACAAATTCCATTTAAGAGAACATTATATGTTACCACATTTAGTTCCACTCCCCGTTCGATCATCTCCTTTAGGAGCTTGTGGGCCATATCAGCCTTTTTTATTTTGCACCACCCATATATCAATATTGTGTATGCCTTTTCATCTGGTTCAAATGAGATTTTCCGCTTGTTAAACAATTCGGTTGCTACCTGAATTCAATGTTCATAAAAACAGAAGAAATAAAAGTTTAATTAAATACTAACAATCATAATTCATATTTGCATGTAAAACCAAGTAATAATGATATCAAAATTATTCAGGTAATAGCAAGAGCTTAAAGGCATTCCCTTTTTAAGGTCATATAAAAATCAAGATGATGGAACAGTAGCACATATGCAGCTTGCCTTGCAAAACGCAGTAAACATAGAATAATATATGATATTTTGTGCATGCTGTATGCATGCATGTCAAAAAGAATTTCATCTAATTTTCTAAACTTCCGTTGATACAAATTACATATACTTAAGACAATAAAAATAAGTTTTTTTTTAAAGCGGAGATAATTGGGGAATAAATGTAGACACACAAACACACACACACACATAAAACTGATTTTGGCTAATAAATTGACAGATGTGAAATCGAAATTCATAAGGAATTAGTTGCGTAGGTGCTTATTTATACTTTCAACATGTGAAACACAGAAGGGCGCAGATGGAAGTTTGACATTAGTCAGTTTTAAGAGTGGAAAAGTTGAGTTTCGGGCTGATCACAAGTTTGGCATGCTTTTTTAGTTACCATAATGTGTCAAAGCAAGAGCGACTCTTTAGTTATTTTATTTGTATTATTTAGTCTCATTTGGTCCATTAGACAAGGAGCATTTTGTTATTTCTTTTGGTTATTATTGTTTTAAAAAAAAACCAAAGAAATTCAGATGCCCCAACCAAGGTAACAACAAAGGAAGAAAAGAAAAGTTGAAGTATGCCCTTCTTAACCTTACGGATAAATTGTCCACATTCATATCAAGTCCTTCGCCTTTCATAGCTTCCAACAATGTGGAAAAACTGAGGAATCACAATAAATCAAACTGATAAATGAAGAAAAAAAACTTCCAGATTATCTCAATAAGAGAAAAGAAGATGACCCTCCAAACATCAATGTGTGACAAATACTATCTTACCTTTAAAATAGATCTCAAACTGCTTGTCTCACTACAATAACTGATAACTAGATTGAATTTATTGGAATATATTTCAATCTATGATTATTCTGACATTCGAGAAGTTTCTTTTGCTAATCTCAAACAAACAAAAAAAACAAAAAAATGCATGGTGAAATTTTAACTCCAAAAAACTACACGTCACTTTTGGTGTGGATAGAGTTCAAAAGACTATTGAAGGCTTATCCATTCCATAAGCTTCGAAAAGAACAACAATTGAAGCAAAAATAATGTATTCTATAGAACCTTCAGTAGTGGCACCTTTCTCAATGATTCTAGCAATAAGTGGTGATTTTATTGATTTTAGATGAGAATGCTGGGGTGAATGAGTGCTTTACACTCAGAGACAAAAAGCAAAATGAATATATTCATGAAAGAGATGGTGTAGCTCTAGTGGCAGAAAAGATTAAAGAGAGTTGTCTCAGATGACTTGATCACATTAAACATCGACCATCTGACGATCCAGTTAAGAGAATTGATGTTTTAGATTCGACTATGTTAAGAAGGTAGAGGTAGGCCTATAAAGACTTGGGCATGTGGTATTAAAAAATGACCTTAATTTATTAGAATTAAATAAAAATATGAAACTCCATAGGATACAATGGAGAAAAAGAATTCATGTAGCTGACCCCACTTAATGGGATAAAGGCTTGTTGTCGTTGTTGTACCTCATTTGGTGCTTCTTGGAATTCAACCTGCTTCAATCACCACTATAATTTGTTGAATTTCTGCTTCCACTACTATTGTCATTTCCTTGCTAGTCATTGATTAAGTTTGTTCAGTCATCAAAGACTTTTTAATAATTATTGTTATGAGCCAAAGCATACTTCAATTTGCGGTTTTTTATACTTCATCCATCTAACCATTCCTCTGCTATGGTCGTCAACTTCCATCAGGTTAGAGAAGAGTTTCCTTAGGCCTAAATGAATAATGCAATACAATCAGAGTCAACTCTTCTCCATATAGATTAACGCCATAAGTTGGTGCCAAATTGTTTTTAAGTATGTTTTAGTTATGTTTCCTGTTTAAATATGGAATAAAGACACATTATATTTTCTCTGTAGCTTTGAAGACTTTGTGTTGAAGACTTTCTTCCATATAATGGGTGTCTTAAGATTGTATGGATCAATTAAAGGATATTAAAATCAAAACGTGAATGCCTTACTCCTCTCCTCTTCTTCCAACCTTTCTCTTTAGATTATTTTCCCTTCCCTCTAGCTCCCCTAGAGTCGTGCACCCTTTCTTCCTCTCTCTTTTCCCATTCCCCAAATTTGTACTCATCATCGAAGTATCACTCCGCCGTGCCCCTTTTGCATTATACATTTAAAGAATAGTCCAAGGAAAAAAAAAGAGACACAATCTATTTGTAGAGTTATTAAAATTATTTTGTTACCATATAAAAACTTTCACATAAGCTTGATATTTATTATAAATTTATATTATTTATTATTGTGATATACACTCATCACGGAACATATTTTTGCTTAGTTTACTTAGTGATCTATTCTCTTATCTTTATACAGTATATTTATACTAGCATGATCAATCAAGTGAAGATTTAGCTTTTTATGATTTTTGCCATGATACTAGAGCCACACTCTAAGCCTTCATCTTCTTCTCATATCTCAAAGATCCTACTTGATCAAGTCTCACTTGTTCTCGTTTAACAAACAACGATCCACCTTCATCTCCTATTTCTAAGAACTTGTAAGGATATCATGAAGATCCCATCCTATGATGCGCGGATACGAACACGACACAACACAGATACATGACACTTATATTTTTAAAAAAACAGGATAATGATAAGCGTAGAACACGACATTATAATATAAATGGACATTTACATAAGTAGCACCCAATTCTTATGTATTTACATATCTAACTCCCAAACTTTCTTTTTTACATTTAAACCACCAAAATCTTTCATAACACATAAAAAAAATACCACCATTTTAACTATTAAAAAGTGAGACGCATCTTTTCAAGTACAGGTAGGATGGCATATATATATATATATATATATATAAATTAAAGGTTAGGTGTTAGATATGTAAATATATAAGAATTGAATTGTATGTATGTAAAAATTATAAAAAATAGATAAAATTAAATAAATGGGACTTTAGGAAAATAAAAAAGACAATAATAAGAAATTTAATAACATTAATTTTCAAAAATTAAGGGAATAAAAAATATTATTTAGTTTATGATATACAAAATATAAATGCTGAATGACTTATATTACATCAAGATAAATTTAACTTTTAAATAAAAAAATAGAATAATTTCTTTAAAATTTTAATCTTAAAAATATAAATGTTTAAAAATTTTTTAAGAAATATCTAATTCATTAATTTAGGACACATGTGTCCTTTTTTTTAAATATTATTTAAATCAGACACTTTCATGTTGTGTCTAGCATATGTCAGAGTAGTGTCGTATCCGACATTGCACTAGTATTGCATTGCTCCTTGATTTAAAATGTTTAAGCATCATAGATCCCATCAGAATATCATGAAGATCCAATGAGAACAACATAAGAAATCTCACAAGGATTTCATCTCCAATATCGTTGCTACCGGGCTTAACATGCTAGATCTCATCATTGAATTGAATGAATTTTGGGTTGTTATATTTCTTGAACATTGAAAAAGACCTAATAGTAGGGTGAAAAGTCATCAATGAAAAATGCATAGTATTTATTACCATGCAGAGAAATTGCAACCAAAGGTCCATAAACATCCATGTGGATAAGTAATAATAGTTTATAAGCGTGAATTGGAGATGCTTTAAGGGGAAGATGATGACTTTTTGATAATCAACATAAACTACATGGCTATATGAATGATGAAAACATATAATAAAATTGGTATTTGAAAAAAAAAAGAAGAAGAGGGATGGTCATAATGTCGATGTAATAGGAAATGCTTTAAAATTAGACTGGACTGGTTCAAACTAGAACCGAGAATACAACCAATATAATTATCCTTGAAAATTATTTTCAGGTGAAAGCAGTGAGAATCCATTTGAACCGCTGCTTTCGACCGAAAAACCGGCGAACCAATCCTACTTATAGAGAACAGGTTGGCCCAAATAATGCCTTTAATTACCTTTAATTATCAATCCAATGATAATAAATTTTCATATAAAAATTAAATCAATAAATTATATAAAGTTAAGCTTATAATTATTGATTTTAAAAACTTACGTTAATTATTATATTCTCAAGTCGATTTAATTCATAACATGTCGACCAATAAGGTGAGTTATAAGCACATATTGCAAAGAAAAAAAATCATATAAACAATGCAATACTAACTCTTTCATACAATGTAAGATTAGAAAAAATTGAGTATGTTGAAACTTGAATCGAGCTACAAGTCTAAAAAACTATGCCAAGGGATTTGAGTTTTGAAAATATTAAATAGGCTGCATAATATAAAAATATAATAACAACATTTTAATTTTTAAGCCTTTTTTATATTATAGATTTTATATTCTTATTAATAATTATAAATTATATTCCTATTAATAATTATATTCTTATTATAAAGTATATTTATATTTATATATCTATATTATATATATATTTAAAATTTTTAAATATATTTAATGTGCATAACTAAATTTATAATACACATAATATATCTTAACAAACTTATAATAAACTTTAAATTTACAATTATTGAAGATATTATTGTACGAGTTTTATTTATTTTTATCACATAGTCGCATTATTGCAACATTTAAACTATGTTAAAAGAATTTTAATGTTTATTACATTTTCTGGTTTAACCCCACTTAGTAGGATAAAGGCTTGTTGTTGTTATTGTATTTGGTTTAACCTCGATTGAAACATTGAACATTGGAACTCCTCTTTGGATTCAATGACCAGTTCTATCTTAGAGCATTGGTCATAGGTCCTTGATTGATTAAGTGGAGATGAGAGTGAAATTGGTGATGAAGAGCTTCCATGAGTGGGCATTAACAGGATAGAGTCTATTGTGGTAAAGGCCTCTTAAGAAGAGTTATGGTGGTGCTCAAGTCCTCGGGATATAGCCATTAGCATTGAATGAGATATAGCAAGTGTTGGTTTTAGTGAGGCATTGAACTGAGAGAAGATTATAGTATATATTTAGATCATGAAGAATGTGAGATAGAAAAAGATTATTGGTGGTTATAGGTTGCAGTATTGGAGATAAGGAGTATATGACCACTTGACCGCAGTACATACTAGGAGTGATAAAGTGAGTAGAGTCAGATGTTATGAGAGAAGTTGCTCCTATGTCCAATTACCAATCATCCAAAGAAAGTGAGGAGCCATAAAAAAGAACGGGAGTAGATTGTTGTGGGCTATTGTAAGTAAGATCCTACATATACTAGCATTTTACCATAGATTGACCAGATTTGTTACATATTGGCATACAATGTTTTGCGAAGAAGGCTTGACGCCTTTGTAGTCAGTCAATGAGAATCATCTTGCCTTAGTTTTGTTGGAACTATGGCATCCCTAGTCAGATGATGGAGGCAGAGAACGAGAGCGACCACAATTGTGAGTAGCAGGCAAGTCAGTATTTTCGATGGAGTAGAGTTCACGAGAAGCTTTGTGGCCTTATTAGCCCTTGGCTGCAAAGTTAGGAGTAGAGATCATATGAGCCTGCGGAGTTGAAGGATCATTCGAGTGGCTGTTTTGAGTGCTTAATAGGATGGAGGCACTCATTCAAAGTATAGAGAATAATGCCCTTAAGGTCAAGTTTTGCAAGGATCCGGAATTTTAATAGCATGGCTTTCCAGTTATTGTCTCTATCTGATCCAAGCCAAACAATTTTATGAACATAGATTTGGCTTTCAAGAAAAAGCTAGACAACTTTCTCAACTTGAAAAGCAGGAGTCAGCTCCTTCTCCACTTCTAAAATCTACATTTTATCCTCCTGTTATCCAGCCAAACTTAATAAGCAATATAACAAATTTTGAGCTCCACCAATTTCTCAGAAACGTCCGCTCAGCTCATGCATTTCAAAAATGCTGCAATGCAGATGTCAACCAACATCTAGAATCACTTTCAACCATACCACTGATAGAATCAAAACTATATCACTGAATTTAGGCGATACTATAATCTAAATAACGCTGTATTCTAAAACATGTTGCAAAGAAAAATCACGCAGGATCAAGGAAAAACCCTCGCACAATGAATTAATTCCAAAAAAAAAATAAAAGAAAGAAAAAAAAAAAAGAGAACTACAAATGAGCAAAAGAGTGAACCTTAGGATACCCATACTTGCAAAGGGTGTCTAAGATCATGTTGAATTCCGCTGCGCCAGGCTCCCTTCCAATAAACGCCTCCATATCATCGAAGGCCCTGATGGCCTGCCTGGTCAGTCCTGCAGCAACGTATCGGCGTACAAGAATGGCGAACGTCCGCGGCGATGGAGCCACGCCGCGCTGATCCATCTCCACGATGAGCTGCCAGGCGGCGTCGAATTGGCGGACCTTGCCCAAGATGTCAACCATCAAATCGTAGGCCTCTGCATCATGCGAATGATAGGCCTGGTCACGCGACCAAACAAAGAAGCCTAGTGCAATCTTGGAGAAGTTACGGAGGCGTAGAAGGGTCTGGAAAACAAGGCTGGGAGAGAGGCGGACGCCGGCGAGCTGCAGTGACGACTCCATGGCGTGGAAGGGGTTGTGGTGCTGGAAGAGAAGATGTGAGAGCGCGTCGGCTTCTTCGGAAGGCACGATAGTAGGGAGACTTGGCTTTGGAGGGTTTTCAAATCCCGGTTGTGGTTCGAGATCAGCGGAAGGCGTTGGGGGTGGGTTAGGTGAACGATTATCGAAGGAGGTAGAGGTGTTGGAGGAGGAGGAGGAGTAGAGGGCATAGCATCTGCGGCCTAGGGATTGCGCCGCGCAACGCCGGACCGTGGTGGCGAGAGACTCCATTGATCTCACCGCGCAAGCTTTCTGGACCTGCTTAGCGATCAAATCTCAACAACTAACAGAGTGGAAATGACTGTGGAGAAATATTTGCATGCCTAATTCTTACACAGAGTTCCATTTATATTAGGTTATTCTGAGAGTATAAATATGTTACACTTAGGTTATACCTTTTGTAATTCTTCCTATAATCTCTGAATAAATTACTTGTATCATCCGAATAATCTAATATGTACGCAACTTTACTTACGTACGCAATAAGCCAACTCGGTTGGCACAACACTTTGGATTGATCCGATTTTCCATCCCGATCGACCGACCACTTGCTCCTTTATATGTTGTATATGTGCATGTACATATTTGTCTGCATGATCGATATCATCTAATTGAGTTGCATTCTTTCGGGTCACTGCCTTACCGGCATACCCTCTTTTCGGACCCCTACCGCTATAGTATGTCTACCTCCGGGTCACTGCCTCACCGGCATACATTCTTCCTATAATCTCTGAATAAATTACATGTATCATCCGAATAATCTAATATGTACGCAACTTTACTTACGTACGCAATAAGCCAAGCTAGTGATTTCTCATTTTTTATCATTTGATTATAACATTATTTTAAATTAATATTCAATTTTCTCTTTTATGATAACCAAGTCAGCTCGTGAGCCCTTGAACTTCTAGATTACAGCTCGAGATTAAGCTCGAACTCGATAAAATTAATCTAGCTCAAGCTCTAATCTTTGATGGTTCAAGCTCTACTCGACTCAAACTATATAGTAATATATTGTTCTTATTTTATAATGTTATATTCAAGCAACAATATTTTAATGTTTTGTTAAGATTAATAAGAGTAAGACACTTAAGTTGGTTACACTTTTATTGAGAATTATGAGTGTTTGTAGACCATCATGTTGCCCCAAATTCATTAAATCTTAGTGCTCTCTTGAATACAAGGGAATAGAATAAAGGGGGTAGCATGGGAATACTCTCACAAACACAAGAAAGCTATGAATGTTAAATTTGCACCTCAATTTCACTACATAAAGACATTTATAGACGAATCTTAAGAGGTTTATAAACTAATTATTTGAAATAATTGGGTCATCTAGCTTGTTAAATAGTTAGGGGGGGCCAATGAGTTGGAACCAAAAATTACCATATAGAATGAATTTTTGAACTTTTAGTTCAATTAAGAAGGTAGAAATATTTGCTAAGAATGATTCATATAGAAATAGACTATACAATACAATAAATGAGGGATCCATGAAATGTATAGAGCTTCATAATGTTATGAATTTGAGTTCTTAGGTGGTTGATAGATTTATGTCCATCAAACACCATCTTAAAGCAATGATATGATATTTACATGGTACAAGGTAAATCAATAATGGGAATACTTTATCTTAGTGCAAGACAGTTAGAACATTTTGCTTTAGAAAGGGGAAGCCATGCAATGATGGCAAGGACAACATTTTGAGAAATTTTGGATGATGCTTTTACCAAAGATTGAATGGGAGGACTTTATAAAGGAGGAGAAAGCTTGCATTATTTCACAAATAACTAAATTTTCATTAAAACACAAATTCCTTAATTTTACTCATACAAAGATTTTTTTAAATAATATGAGCAATTAACCAGCGAAAGTGAGGGAATTTTATTATGTTTTAAGAAGATAAGAAACAGTTTTGAACTTTTAGTTCAATTAAGAAAGTAGAAATATTTGCTAAGAATGATTCATATAGAAGTAGACCATAAAATACAATAAACGAGGGTCCGTGAAATTTATAGAGCTTCATAATATTATGAATTTGAGTTCTTAGGTGGTTGATAGATTTACGTCCATCAAACGCCATCTTAAAGCAATGATATGATATTTACATGGTACAAGGTAAATCAATAATGGGAATACTTTATCTTAGTGCAAGACACTTAGAACATTTTGCATTAGAAGGGAAAGCCATGCAATGATGGTAAGGACAACATTTTGAGAAATTTTGGATGATGCTTTTACCAAAGATTGAATGGGAGGACTTTATAAAGGAGGAGAAAGCTTGCATTATTTCACAAATAACTAAATTTTCATTAAAACACAAATTCCTTAATTTTACAATTCCTTAAGTTTACTCATATAGAGATTTTCTTAAATAATTTTAGCAATTAACCAGTGAAAGTAAGGGAATTTTATTATGTTTTAAGAAGATAAGAAACATGAACAATGCTGTGAAATCCTCTTTAATTTATTTTTTATTCAATTTATTACCATTTTAGTTGCTTTATCTCAAATCTAAACGCTCATATTTGCATATATATATACATATATACATACACACACACACTAGTTGTTTAAAAGATGGATGAAAATATGTATATAACTTTTAAAAAGTAGTAATTTCACTATTTTATGTGAGATTATAGGTTGAGGCCTATATGTGTAAATATGAAAATTTTGGTGTGAGATACATAAATACATGAAAAATTGTGTCTATTTTAAAAAACTTTTTTTTAATAAAATGTATGGGGAGTTTATATAAATGGCACCTAATTCTTATGTATATAGTTATATCATATTTAAGCATTGAATTTTACATTTAAAGCATATTTTCTTATGCATGCATAGTTTAAGATGTTGGAATGTAATGATTAAGTGCCCGTTTGGGGTAGATTATTTAGTGCATTTGAGTTTTGAAAACACACCTGATCTGTTTGGTTAAATTGCGTTTTGACAACTTATGCGTTTTTAAAATACTGAAAACAATATTTTGACGCTGAAAACAATATTTTGACACCGCACTTATAGCTTTCTGACATCGGTCTGATTTTACCAAAAAAAAAAAAAAATTTATAATTATAATCGCCCCCGCATCTAGCATATCAGCGCCAAACAGAACCTAAAATTTAGGTGTTTGATATTTAAATTGATAAGAATTGGGTGCCATTCATTCATTTAACTTCCGAAAGTGTAATTAGTGTCCTGCGTGTCGTCCGCCGCCTCCATTCACAGAACCGCCACTATCTTCATCCTTCCATCCATCTATATAACCTCCCGATCTTTGCATTCGTTATCCTAGCCCTTCCATCCTAGCCTCTCTTCTCAATCTTCACGTGTCCAAACCTAACCCTAGATTTCCCAATCGGAGCGCCATGGCGGACAGCGGCGTCGTGACGGTGTACGGCAACGGTGCGGCCATCACGGAACCCCAAAAGAAGTCGACTGCGTTCTCGGTGAAGGTTGGTCTCGCCCAGATGCTGCGCGGTGGCGTCATCATGGACGTGGTGAACGCTGAGCAGGCCCGCGTTGCAGAGGAGGCTGGCGCCTGCGCGGTTATGGCCCTGGAGCGCGTACCTGCTGACATCCGTGCTCAGGGTGGCGTCGCCAGGATGACCGATCCAGCCCTAATCAAAGAAATCAAGCAAGCGGTGACCATTCCGGTTATGGCGAAAGCCCGCATCGGCCACTTTGTTGAGGCCCAGATCCTGGAAGCCATTGGTGTCGACTATGTCGATGAGAGCGAGGTCCTCACCCCCGCGGACGAACACCACCATATCAACAAGCACAACTTCCGCGTTCCCTTCGTCTGTGGCTGCCGGGATCTAGGTGAGGCCCTCCGTCGCATCCGCGAGGGTGCCGCCATGATCCGTACCAAGGGGGAGGCGGGCACGGGGAACATAGTAGAGGCCGTTCGCCATGTTCGTTCTGTTATGGGCGACATTCGCGTCCTTCGCAATATGGATGACGACGAGGTCTTCTCTTTTGCCAAAAGGATTGCTGCTCCTTATGATCTTGTGATGCAGACCAAGCAGCTAGGCCGCCTTCCGGTCGTCCATTTCGCAGCTGGTGGCGTTGCTACTCCCGCCGACGCCGCTCTCATGATGCAGCTTGGCTGTGATGGGGTTTTCGTCGGCTCCGGTATCTTCAAGAGCGGCGATCCTGCCCGCAGGGCTAGGGCAATCGTGCAAGCAGTCACTCACTACTCTGACCCGGAGATCCTCGCCGAAATCAGTGCTGGATTGGGGGAGGCTATGGTCGGTATCAATCTCAACGACGCTAATGTGGAAAGGTTTGCTGCTCGCTCCGAATAGAGTAATCTTTCACATCATTTTCCCCGGCAAAGTAGCTGCAGGAATGATCATTTGCTTGCATGTTTGCTTAGAAATGATTTCCTTCTCCCATCCTTCCTATAGTTTCTGTTATGGCTATGGTTGAATTTCGGTTTCTGAATTGCTTATGCTGCGATCAGAAGATCATAGCTTAATCTCCTATTAAGCTTTTTCTCTGTTTTCATTTCAGCTTTGGTTCCTGTATGTGTTGCTTGCTATTGTTGGTATCTTCTATCAATATTGTTATAATGAACGAAATTCATGAAGTTTACAACCACTTCCAGAAACTGTCACGAAGAGTTTGTGTTATGTTGTTTTTTGAAAATGATACACTTTTATCGGTTTTGCATGACTTAAAAGCCTTACCTTGCACTTTGTCACAAATGATATGTCTCATGGGCTTAGCAAGGAGTTGCTAAAATAAAACTACTGCAAATAATAGCCCAGCAAAAATAAAACTGACAGTGGTGGGGCATAAAATAATTAGGAAAAATTTGAGGAGCTCTTGAAATGGGGGAATTATGGGGAGGAGCTCCATTAAAAAAAATATATATTTTGGAGCATAAACGCCCCCATGGGGGCATTTTATTAGTAATTTTTTTTTTGTCCCCACTTTATAAATATAGTTTTTAATAATAATAATATATGATATTATAAATTAATATTAAAAATATCATATATAATGTTATTATTACAAATAAATAATAAACTTATACTATATTAACTATTATTTAGAGGGTTTTAAATTAAGTAAAAAATGCATGAACAAAATGAGATAATGAACTATGAAATAAATTAAAAAAAATTTATTTCGCAATAAAATATTATCACAAGACAGTGTTTTTGGAATACAATTATGCTCTTTGCCAATGTGGAAAGTCCCCTGAACCTGGTGTATATAAAGAAGGCGGTCGCAATGGTCATTCTTGCAACTGGTGGTCTTCAAATTCTTTTTCAACAACATCGTTTTCAGTTGCATCATTCGTAGCTTGTTGGGCCTCATAATACCTCTCTTCATTCATGGGTATTGGCGGTGTATAAATTGGAGGTGTGTCGAAAAATAGCCCTACATCAGATGGGGGCACAACAATGAGAATGCTTTGAAACTTTAAATCCAGATCCCCTCTAGTAGTTGTTACCCACTATAAATCATGTGATGGACCCTCATAAGTCCGCGACCCTCCATAGCCGCTGGGTCCTGCAGAGCTGGTAGGTCTTGTATAGCCGCTAGGTCCTGCATAGTCATATGATCTTGCAAATTCGAATGGTCCAACATAGCTGGAGGGGCTCGCAAATATAGAATGCCCAAGATAGAAGATGATTGCAGATATTGTTGTTCTTGCGACTCATTCAAGAGAGATCTCCTTGGAGCATCTTACTACGTGCTCGAGAAGCTGAAGCTCTCCTTGGTGCATCTGCTATCAATCTTCTCACGACTGTGGAACCTGATCAATGTGGAACATCAAAAGTTGATATGTGGGTGCCAGATGGTCCAACATTTGTTCTGTTAGATGGCCCCGCCTTGAAATCATGTCTCACTGGCTGATCAAATGTGTTATAATCAATGCGGATGGATCGTTCTACTCTACGTGATAGCTTCAATATCTCATTGTATCCTTATTTTATTGAGTTAGCACTTCCACCGTGCTCCCCTCCAAATTGTTTTGCCATATCTTTACTACGAATATATTAATCCAATTGTACATTGGAATAATTACATTTTTTATTAAGTTTTATAATAAAAGTAATTAACAACAACAATTGAATATAGTAAATGCATATTACTATTTTCTCTCCTGATGATCGGGGGAAATATGCTTCAGGTGCCTAAGTAGTGGGTTGCACTAGGTAGAGTGATGTCTAATATCGCTACCGTTGCAAATAATATGCCAATTCTTATTCTCCGTCTCCTTCTGACGGGTTTAATTATACTATATACGCCCGACAGTTATTCCACATTTTGTTATACTTTCGGTGATAGTGTGCCCAATCAACTTCAGCCGTAGCTCGCCTATCAACTCTTTTAAAACTTCGTTCTATAGGTTGAATAGATATATGTTGAATGCTTGAAAACTGTCACAAAACACGTTCCGGAAGGTGCTACTCGGCACGCTTCCAATAAATTATTGGAGCACGTGCAGTCCAAATATAAATGTTCTGAAAATATGTTGTATAACAAAGCTACCGATAAATTTAAATATTGCGACCAATTAACCTGCATATGAAGTTTTCAATTTAATTTTATGTAACATAAAAAATGAGATAAATGTGAGATTAAATAGAAGGGTTTAGTGTTAAACCTTTGTCTGAGTTCGTGAAATTCATCTATGTACATACATTTCCAGACGATCATGTACATTGCCACTTTTCATTCCACTTGCTTGTTATTTAAGTAAATGAGGTGAATATGACTTAAAATTTTATGTGTTTATGTATAAAAATAGTTAATTTGGTACTTGAAAGCAAGAGATTTGTCTTGTTATTTATCAAGCAACTCTCTGTACATACATTTCCAGACGGCCATGTACATAGCCACTATTCATTCCACTTGCTTGTTTGTGTGTTTATGTATAAAAATAGTTAATTTGGTACTTGAAAGCGAGAGATTTGCCTGATAAATCACGATTGGTTGGAACATGAAGGGTGGACCTACCAACATTTAAGTGTTCCCAACACCATGTTTGTAGCAAGTTCAAACACCCAACAATATTTTGATGAGTGAGCTTATTTGACATAGTTGTCCAAGCATTGCACCACCCAAAGAAATATCTTCCAAACTCTTAAGTTTTTCATTAATGCTAAGTATTCTAAACATACATGCGATCCAGACGTGTCTGAAATAAGAAAACACCATATTATAAACAATATATAGGCCCTTACATGACTTAAAAATTTCTAGATGAGGTAAATCGTTGTAATACTCTATGTAAAATTGCTAGTAGAGCCAACGAAGCTGTATGATTGTCTGTGCTTCGGAACATTCCATAAAAACGTGTGATGTTATTGTATGATCTATAGGATGATGATAGAAAACATCATCTCTAGGGTGTTCCCCCAACAAATCATCGTAACATGTTGTCCAACTTGGCCCCAACTCAAATCTGAACCAACAACATTCGACCCTATCAAGGTATTTTTGTCAGTCCTAATACCAATAAGTATCTGAACATCTTGCAAAAATAATAGTCATCTCACCTGAGACAAATGATTTTTTTTGTAAGATTAGAGAATTATAATTAACATAGTAATATGTTAATATGTACTCCAATTTATCTTGCCAACAGGTAAATGGAATGTGTTGGTTAGGAGACACCATCGCTCGACCATCATTGTTAATAGATGTTGATCTAATTTAATATATTGCAAGTGTCTGACACAGTCTACACTTGTAACTCACAGTGCATGAATAAAACGTGGGCAATGCACCTTCCACTCTTATGCCGCTAGAAAATGGTTGGTCGCTTGAAGAATATTTCTCTACATGAAATCAATTATTTTAGTAGTTATGATGACTTAATCCAATTTATAAAAAAGGCATGTACTTTGTAAGACCTGCTCTGGGTTTACTGCTTGATGAGTTTCACCTAACGATGTAATACTTGGTGGTGTGTCTGGCTGTAATGTGTTGTTATCCGCCTGAGCAATACGTTTGCCACGGCGGCGGTCGCCTCCCAAACCTGTTGCCTCGGCTATCTACACGTAACACTTAGAATGCTTATAAATGAAAAGTTAAATGTGGGGAGGAAACATATGGATTAAAGTCACGGTATCTTAATATGGAGTTTAATTGTAATGCATCCGTAGCTATGAGAACTTCCAAGTGAGGAGGGGGGTACGAAAACCACTTATATCCCAAACTTTCCTTAGGCAGTTTAGACATTTTTGACAGTGTTCTCTGTATCTTTAAATGCATTGTATTCTATTCACATATATCCTTAAATAATGTAGGGTGTGTTTGGGGTAGTTTATCAGCTGCAACACATTTTGAAAACGCCGTCTAACCTATTGGAAGAAGCGTTTGCAAAAATGACATTTGGCTTTTTACGTTAAACGCGCGTCGCGGGTCGAACCCGCGATCCACGTTTCATGATAGATTTTGACGGGGTTGCTTTCTTCACATATCGCTTGCCCTAACTCCCTCTTCGCTCCCTCTCGCCTGTCTCTCTCGATCCTCTCTCTCTCGAGCGCTTCTCTCTGTTTCTCGCTTGCTTCGACGTTATCCTCCTATTCTTCTGTTTAACCCCCAACCTTCGCTACTCTATAAGTACATTTGTTGATGGAATGGTTTGTATTGTGTGATATTATGATCTCTGACTTGCAGTTTTTGTTTATGCTCTAACAGATCTGGTAACTGTCGATGGATCTGGTTTATCATGTGCAATACATGGTATTTTTAAGCTAGTTGGATTGAACTTTATGCAATATTTATTGGCTTAAGTTTTTTACTCACTCTTTCTATAAAATGATGAGGTCAGATGGAAAAGAAACAATGATCCCTCACTCTCCTAATCATTCTCTTCTATCAATTTTTTTGAGATCTCCTTTTATATGAAATTCGACTTTTATATATAAATTTTTGTAGCCGTTGTTATGGTTTCTTTGAGTTTGTTCTGGGTGCAAAACGAAATTTATGGATCCTTTGTTATGCTCTCTTTAAGACTGAACTGTGCATTTTATGCACTTTGGGTGCAAAACGAAATTCTCATTTTGGATTCAAGGAAAAATCAAAATTGAATAATGACATTGTTGAAGTGGTTTTTTTGGTTCTAAACTATCAAGTATATAATCATTATAATTCTATTGCAAAAAACACAACTGCATAGTGGCAGGAGGGTCATTTATCTAGTCATTTATCCAGAAACAATTATAAATTAGTTGTTTTCCAAACGCACATGACAAACAACTAGCCATCTTATCCAGATTTGAGATAGAATGATCATTTATCCAGAAACAACTGTAAATCAGTTGTTTTTCAAACGTATAAACCTAACAATCAGCCGACTTATCTGAATCAGTTGCTGATCACTAACTTATCAAGATAAGTTTCTTATTTGGATAAGTTGCAACTGCCCCAATCAGACGCTTATTCTAATTTGTGTTTCCATTCTAGGAGGAAAACTTCTAAAGATTAATTATTTAATAAAAGTGTTGATTATCATGATATATGTAATGAAAAAGTGCATATGTAGCTATAAGAACTTCCAGGTAGGGCTGTAAACGAGTCGAGCCTGAGCGAGCTCAGGGTGTCGACTCGTGTTCGGCTCGTTCGATACCGAC